CTGCAGTCGTAGTGGCCTCAAGCAACAATCAAGGAAAGATCGACGAGGGTTCTGGATGGGATGAGTGGCACGAAACGTCATGGCCCTTGATTGCAACTGTTTCTGGTAATCAAACATACCAGAAACATACCACGACCCATCTCCATGAATTACGTCCTCCTGACCAGCATAATCAGCAAAGTAATTGCGCAGGCCGAAAGATGTACCTCTTGAGCCGCAGGCGCCGAATGCGAGTCCCCGTTCACTTTGCGGTCATGTCTTCGCCAACTCTTCCGTGGCCTGATCGCTCTTCTCTTCTTTCTGCTCCTCCTCCTCCTCCTCCGCATCCCTCTCGTGGTCGTCCTCCTCCCCAACAATATCCCATTATTGCGTCCTTGCAACTTATCCGTATCTTGTTCCTCCTTCGTCATTATTCTCCTCCGCGAGTCCTCCCATCATCTGCATCGCTGTGCTGCTTGATACCTCGCCTGCCACCCCTCTCTGCGCATGGTCTCTGATAGGGGGCACCCATACAATCATAGCATTGGTCTGCAGATACATTGCTTGGCGGAACCAATTTCGTTTGGGACCCCATGTTGCTTCGTTCGTATGGAACATGCACTCTGGCTAGAAAGGTTCGGATACACGTGGCGTCCACGCCAAAAAACTGAACCCCGACGCTAGAGTAATTTGATTCCCGTGACTCTCAAACATACGTAAATGGATCAAATTCGACCAGTGTTTTTCCATATAAGAGTAACAACTGTCAGCCTGGATCTGCTGAGTCTGTCTCGTTCATGGCGGCGCACACAAGGGTGGTAAGGGGAAGGGGGAAGGCTTCTTAGAAAGAGGCCGCTTCTTAGAAGGCGCCGACCTTACGTCTATAGAGAAGGCCCGCGCCTTCTACGAAGCAGGGGTGTTCGTAAGAAGCCTTCCCCCTCACCCTATCCCCCTCTGCGCGTGGCCGACACTCTTCGGTTTGGCAATTGCCCCTCCTTTGTTCAGCTAAATGCTGCTACACTCCCCCTGTCAGGGAAACCCGCCCGGGCGTCGTCTGCGGATGGGCTGATAACGGAGGCGTGAAGCGTCACGAACTTACGACATCGCCGCAATAGGAGAGAATGTGAAATGGTTCGGCCCCCTGGGATCTGGGGGGAAAAACGGGTCCGTTTTACTGGGCTGCAGTCGAAACCTACAGTAAGGACGGGCGGTAAGGACGCAAGGGCCTTGAACGCCGAAGTTGGTGTTTTTTGGACGGCGGGCTGCCAACACCCTGAAGGGCTGGCCAATGAAAATCTTGAAGGACGGGTCGCAGAGGCAAGGAGGCAAGGGAACCCTAGGGACATCCGTGCGTCCTTACTACGAATGTTGACTAGATGAGCTCCGAAGGGTCCCGAAGGAAGATATTATATCACTGCCGTCCCGAGCCTGCAGAAGAGAGCGTCACAACTTCTGGCACCCTGGAGCCCAGGGACACGAACTCCCACAGGCCAAGGTCTCTCAACCTGAAGGGGCCCAAGGACACACAAATGAATACACACAAATAAAATGGTTACCTATATTGTCCCATATTTTCTGGGGTTTTGTCTTCCCCCCCACTTCCCATATTTTCCCATATTCCGGGGGATCGACCATTAATTTTGTCTGTGTGTTTCTTTTCCTCCTGAAAACAATGCGCTGCAACAAGTGCAACTGATTATTGTTCCCCACCACGGCAAGTACCCATCGGTCAGAGTAGGTGGTGGAGGCATGTAGCAGGGCGGTATTGACTTCTGCCCGCCCCACGAAGACGAACGAAGAGGGAGAACCACTCGATCCTTGAAACGGGGGGCGCAGCAACAGACGACTCTTGACGCCCAGTGGGTAGTGGCTGCCAGACTTTGCGCACGAACGCCCAACCACCTGCCCGCCACACACACACACACACTCCCGCGGCCGGGCCCCGAGCATCCCCCGGTCCCCGAGCATCCTGCATCGCGTGCTCGACGAACACAGAACACGAAATGCCTACACTCGCCATCGCTTGGGCGTCCATTCCCTGTGTTTTTGTTTCGGTTTCGTGCGTGGTTTTTTTTGCCAAATGATCGAGGATGCTCCTCGATGGTCCTCGCCGAAGGCAAAAATGCACACGTCCGAGCGATGCCGAGCACATGAGCTGACTACACTTTTCGGGAGGCCCGCGCGCACAACTCTCTTGGAGCGGCGCTGGGCACCCCCGTCCCTGGACCCCTGCATGGGCGCGCCAGGCGGGGCGCCGGCGGCGCCGCCATGGAGGCCCAGCGCCGAGAACCAGGAAATCCCCGCGCGGACACCGTCACACACACACACTGGACCTCCTGGAGGAAGATACTATATCACTGCCGTGCCGAGCCTGCAGAAGAGAGCGTCACAACTTCCGGCACCCTGGAGCCCAGGGGCACGAACTCCCACACTGGCCATCGCTCGGACGTCCATTCCCTGTGTTTTTGTCTCGCTTTCGTGCGCGGTTCTTTCGCCCAAGGATCAAGGATGTGCTCCTCGATGGTGTCCTCCCCGAAGGAAACATAATGACACGCGTCCGAGCGACGCCAGGGTGCCTCTCGTCGAGAGCGGCGTGCAGGGACTCCCCGGCCCTGCGTGCCCCGACGGCCCGGGTCCCGGCTGCGCCCGGGACCCCCGAGAGGCCTACCGCCTCGCGCCCCCAGGCTCGGTCGTGGTTCGCTCGAAGGCTCGAAGTCACTCAGAATTCGGATTCTTGGTCCCTCAGGGTTGAGACGTTTCGGCTCGTTTGAAGTTCGGATTTTCGAGTTCGTTCAGGGCTCCGTATGAAGTCGTTCAGAGTTCGAAGTCTTGTGATGGGTGAGATTTTTGAGCAGAGTGTTGGATGCTCGTTCTGGGGACCTTCCTGGAGCCACTCGCTCCACTCGTGCGTCGAACCTGAGTAGAACCTGAGTCGAACCTGAGTCGAACCTGAGTCGAACTTGAGTCGAGCTTGAGTCGAACTGGGGTCGAACCGATCGTTAGGTGGGCTCCAGGAAGGTCCCCGAAACGAGCATCGAAAGAGTGCCTTCAGCGATCGCTCGCCACGTGCGCTTACCCAGGAACGTTTGAGCACTACCCTGCACGACCATCTTCAAATCGAGGCGCCACTCGCCGCCTCTCCGCGTGTGTACGTGGCGGAGTGCATCTCAGGGCTCCTGCCGTCGGGGACGGCAGAAACGGTGGCAGACTTTAAGAAATAACGAGCCCTGGCCACTTCTTCGGACGCCCGCATGGGTACGCACAACATGAACACGCTGCCCAACACCGGATGTTATCCAAAACCGACAGTGGCCACTGTTGGGCAAGCGACCGTTCGTCTCGAATGGACAACGTCCGCGTCGACGCCGGCAACGATTCTTGTCGAAAACGGATATGCGCTGCCGTCGGTCTTCGTCGCCGTTCTTTCCACGCCCATTTCGATCGCCCCGAACTTCTGGGCACGAATGCCGCTTGCTCTCGGGGTGTGCCACGTGAGTCTCGCGGGGCCAACAACTCTCGATCGACGCCCCTCGGAGGCCTCCTGGAGACCGCCGTAACCTCGGATGTCTGCACGGTCGCGGAATAGGCCAGGAGCACTTGCTCTGCGGATATATGTTAGGAAATAACTCTGGGGTATGGCCAGTGGTCGCTTCAACTACAAGCATATCTCAACCTATGCACGCCCTGCTAGAATTCAATCGAGCTAACAAGCCCGTAAATTGAACGTAAAATCAAACATACCTGCAAACGCATGAGATGGAATCGTCCGTGAGTTTCCACATTCCAGACGAATTAGTGACAAAAAGCCGATGCGTTGAATAGCGGGGGCATGGCTACTCTCGACTGCATAATCAACATGTTATGGGAGATCTCGGGGATACACGATGGGGGGGCGGGGGACGGCGCCCATCCAAGATAGGGATGCGCCCGACCAGGCCCCTGTCGGTGTATCCCAAACCAGAATTTCCCATCTTTTCGAAGCGGCCTGATTATTCTACGGGGAGCTCAGGGAGTGGGGGTGACAAACCTTTGGTTGAACCAAGAGGGGGTCCAGCGGAAAGGGGGTGGTGCAGTAGCTTTGGGGCAAGTGTATTGCAAATGTACTGTGCCGGGGCGTTGGGTTGCATTGTAGTGCATCTAATGTATTGCACGCGAAGATCGAGCAATACCTTTGCATATTGGAACATATTACGCGCCCCGAATCTATTGCAACACCACACATATATATATATATATACACATGCATATATACATATATATATATACATAGATTGCACCTAATCTATTGCACCACCCCCTTTTCGCTGGACCTCCTTTTGGGTCAACCAGAAAGCCGTCTGCGACCCAACTCCGCGGAAAATTCGATGCTCATTCTGGAGACCGTCCTGGAACCGCTCGCTCCTTTCATGAGCCGATGCCGTGTCGAACGTCCGCGGACTTGACTCGAGCTTGAGACGAACTTGAGCCGACGTTGAGCCGAGCTAGAGTCGAACTAAAGTCGAACCAGATTCGAACTGGACTCCAGCAGAAACGCTGGGTGGGTCCCAGGAAGGTTCGCAAAGCGAACATATGAGGAGGACGAGGAGGAGGCGGGAGCAAGGACTGGGCGCAACCACCGTGCCTGAATCCGACGATGCCGTCTCACGGAGAGAGCGCCCCGCGCACACCGCCTGGGGCAGCTGCTCCTCAGCAGCAAGCCTCGCGCGGCAATGTCTTTACACGGGGTGGGTTGAACGGGCGTCAAAAGCTGCAAGCGGTTGTCAAACGCTGAAGCTGGCCCTCGAGCCTGCTCTTCTACCACAGAGGCCTCACAAGTGAGGTAGGGTCGGAGGATCACCCCGCATCGTCGATGCATCGCCAATGCATCGGCGATGCCTCGGCGACGTCGGTACAGAGAAAGTCGGGATCCATACCGAACCGTATCGCGGATGTGTTGGCGATGCGGCGCGATCCTCCGACCCCACTTTTTCTGACCCCCTCTGGGCGGCCTTGGGTGCCTCGCAGTTCTGACCCACTGCGGATCAAGACAGCAGAGGAGGAGGCGAAGGCCTCTGATCCGAAGTGGGCTCCAATGACACGCTCACCGACGGGGCCGCCGCCCGCGCCGGCTTCCCGCCGTTGAGCTCGCCGCCCGACCTCGCGTCTAGCACGTTTAGGGCCAGGCTGAGCAGGCTGGCCAGGGCTCCGCACGCGATGAAAAACAACATGCAATAGTCGTAGCGCTTCACCTGCGTGCCCGGGTACACCTCGGGGCTCGCGTCCTGCAGGACGCCGACCAACATGTTTGCGAGGGCGATGCCGATCATCTGTACGGACGTGGCCATGCCGTTCGCGGTGCCCACGAGCTCCATGGGCACGACGATCGGGATGCACGGCCAGAGGCTCGAGGCGGCGAACATGTAGGTCAAGCGTTGTGAGCAAGAATATCAAAAACACTGGGATCGAGAGCAAACAGGTTACGAGCTGGATCTGAGCACGGCGGCCACACCAATCGATGAAGGCACCTACAAAAACGGTAAAAACCATGCTCATGAGGTAGACGATGCTGGAACGGAAGGAGGCGCCCTCAGCGATGGAAGTACCGTGCCACTTCGCCTCGAAGAAATCCTTTGCAACAGCGATGAATGCGAATATGCAGATGTAGTACGTCGAGATGATGCAAGAAAGTATCCACAATCGCGCTGGGAGTCTCCCGATGTCACGCATCGACACTTTCTTGACGTGTACTCTTGCGATCTCCTCGCCAAGACTCTCCGTGTACCGCTTGTGCCTTTTATCGAGCAGCACGTAGCAGATGCCAAAAAAGGCCCCGACACAACAAAAGCCAACCCCGAGCCAGAGCGTTATGGGAATAGAAGTGGCCTGCACGATGTTTGCCGTGAGGTTGAGGTTTATCACAGATCCTAGCCTGGACGCAGTGAGTGTGAACCCCATGGCGAGTGCCATGCGGTCGTGCCTGAAGAACTGCGCGGAGATGGTGTTCTGCACGAGGGTGATGGAACCACCGCCCATGCCGAAGATGAAGCGACCTACGAGCATCAAGCAGTACTGGAACTCCGGACCCGCCATGTGCAGCGATGCCCCCATGGCGAATACTATCTGTCCGATGGTATACAGGGCGCAGAAAACTGAGCAGCCTACGTGCGTGCCGTAGCGGTCCACAATTATGCCGCCAAACATGCAGCCGATGAGCGCGTTCGTCCAGGCATACAGCGAATAGAAGAGACCGTAGAGGAAGTCTGTCTGAAACAGCCCAGATGTCGGGGCCCAGGGCCTGATGTATGCATCCTGTAAGCCTTCCTTCATGGTGGAAGGCATGTCGAAACAGAAATAGGATCCGAATGTCAACATGCAGCTGCAGAAGAGGATCACGTACCGGAACGCGACGTGCGCGGGGTGCAGGCAACCCCGGGCGGGGGCCTCACCCTCGAGCAGCGTCGCCATGTGACCAGCCGTCTGCGTGGACATCTGAAGCAGCGCCCGGACAGCAGTCCCCGGATCAGAAGCCCCGAGGATGGCTGCTTGGACAAAATGGCCTTGAGCCGGAACTGTTACGGAGAGGGGGGGGCGAAAGGGCAGGATAGCAAAGAGCAGGGTAGAGCATCAGCTCACGTCGCTGGCTTTCCTGGCGCCTCCTGGCGCTGAGAGGCGCCCATGTCTCGAGGAATGGGCCCATGGGCGAGGCCGAAACCAGCTGCAAGCAGCAAATTTCGTAACCCTCCCGTTCCCTATCCTGCCCGTTCGTCTGGCACGATACGGAGAACGGGCGTGGCAGAGGGAATCACGGAGGGTATGGCGACCCCAATCTCCAACTTTCCGGGGTGCTCCACTGTGCTAACGACGATATGGGCCCAACTCAACAATTTCCCGGGATCGCTTCAAAACCACATTGAGCGTGAATTGCACAAAATGCGCATGGCAAGTTTTCGGATGATTTTCGGGCTGAGTACTTGTCATACATGCGCACCCTCGTGTAGCAATACTCTTGAGGGGTGTCTTGAATATGTGTTGTTTACTGATGCACGCTTTCCCTTTTGCATGCACCACGCCGTTGTCGACATCGGGAAAATACGTTTTAGGGTGCTCGATCGGACGTTTACTTTTCTCCTCGACTTTCCATGGGATAGCGTCCATCCTCGACGGAGGTGGGCCCGTATAGCCCCACAGGGTGTACAGTGGGGGCTCGGCCACAAGAAACCTCCGCAAGAAATCCAACCCTGAAATCCGCGACTTGTTCAGTGAGAATCCACATTTGCCGATCGAGAATCGTCAAGATCTTGTTGGGGGCCCATCGAAATCCAAGAAACCCAGGGCACCCTGGCAAAATCCAGCTGGTTTCTTGGCACGCGCCCCCACTGTGTAGCCCCCCCAGGGTGCACCCCTAAGTCCCCACTCTGTTCTGAGCGGTGGATTCTTCTGGGGAGCTCAGGGATCGGGGGCGAACGGAAGATCGCTCGCGAGGGAAGGATCCGAGCCGCTTCTCGGCGGCTCCAGGGTTCAGTCGGCCCTGTCCCCCTACAGGGGGATTCTCGACGAAAAACCAAAAAATATCCCAAAATAATCCAAACATGCTCCAACAATCGTCTGGGGACCACTTTTTAAATATTTGTTGACCTTTAGGGTGTATGTTTGGGGTATTTCTTATTTTTCGTCGAAAATCAAAAAAAATACCCCAACAATAATCAAAACATCATCCAAAAATCGTCTGGGGACTATTCTTGGAGTATTTGTTTGCCCTTTTGGGGTATTTTTGGGGTACTTTATATTTTTCGTCGAAAATCCCCCTGTTGGGGGACACGCCCGACGTGAGTCTGCTTCCGAGCCGCTGCTCGGCGGCTCCAGCAGGGCCCGGCGAGGGCGACCCGAGGCCGAAGAGCACCGAAAAAAACTCCCGCCGGCTGCTGTACTTCTGAAGGGGCCCAATGAACACACAAACAAAGACAGGCAAATAAAAACAATCCCCATATTTTCCCATATCTCATAAAAAAAACATCCAGATAAATACACGCAAATAAAAAACAATCCCTATCTTTTCCCATACCTTCTGGGCGTCTGTCTTCCCCCCCACTTCCCACAGTTTCCCATATGTTCTGGGGAGTCGACGACTCCTTGTGCCTGTGTGTGTTTTCCCCTTCCTGACATGTGCTGCACAGCGCCTGTGTACATCACAACGTTGGCGTGCACCGCTGCGCCTGTGGACACCACGGCGCCTGCCTATACACCACCGCATTGGCGTTTCACGCCGCGCTGGTGCACGGCACAGTGCTCTCGTGCACAGGACAGGTCCCAGGAGAAGAAAGAACACACCGACACAATGAATTGTGTCTGTGTGCTTTTTTCCCCCTCCTGAGCAAAACCCGCCCGCCAGCTGCTTTGTACTCCTCGCGCCGCGAGGCCGCCCAGGCCCCGGCGACGGTCGACCCGCGGGCTCGCCGCCGGGTGCGCTCTCGCCAGGATCTCCGGGCGGATCTGGCCGAGGCGAACATGGCGCCTCCTGTCGCAGGCCTGGAGATTGACACCAACACCAATTTCGGAGGTGTGCCTCCACCGAGGGAAGAAGATCCCGCTCTCGGCGATGGTGGTAATATTCTGGCTTCCAAGGTGACCGAACTATTACCACCAGCACCGAAAATCTAGGATCATCTTCCCCCCTGTAGAGGCACCCCCCCCGTCTTGGTGTTGGTGCGCATTTCCAGGCCGCCGATCCTGGTGACCCCCAGAAAGACGCACCGCAAAATCAGAACACAAACCGTCGAGTTCGGGCCTCAACTCGGGCCTCCGGCGGCCGCCCGGGACGATCCGGGCACTCCCGGAACGCCCTCGCCGAAGCGCAGCTGCTGGAAGGCGCAACGAGGCGAGAACACCAGCAGGAAGCCACGAAAACGTGCGAAAACGATCGAAAACCCTAGGTAAAAAGCAATCCCTCGAATGAGGGGCAAAATCAATCCCCGGACACGTTATGGGGCGCATTCCGGCCAGAATTTCGAGGCGGGTCCAGCCGCGGCGACGAGGAGCTCCCCAGAGGCCCAGAAAACACTAAGAAACGCCGACGCGCGGATGTCAGGGACCGATCCTCGATCCTCGATCATCGTTTGAGGATGTCTGGTTTTCGGGTGATACCTCTGGCCTCTGGCGGCCGCCTGGCACAATCCCTGTCGCCCCGTACAGATCTCGACGAGAGGGCTCCTGAAGACCGCCCCGGGGGCCAAAACACCCACGAGGAACTCGGGAACCGAGGTGGGGCTCGAGGGTCGGGGATCGATGCTCGACGAGGGTCGTCGTTGCCGCCGTCGGGGCAAAAATCGATCCCCGGACCTTCGGGGATCTTCTGACCCGGGTCAATCCAGACCCGGGTCAGCCAGGCCTTGCACACACCTGCAAGATCCTGCAAGGCCCTGCACCCAAACCAGGGTCAACGCGCAGGATCCTGCAGGATCCTACAGGATCCTGCACCCAAGCCCGGGTCAATGGGAGCCTGGCTCTGCAGGATGCTGCAAGACCTGGCGCTCTGGCCGACCCCCTGTTTGCATTGATAGGGGAACAAAAAGTGCTATCAACATTAAAAACTCGGAGGTCCGCGCGGATGTCTCGGATCGGCGCGGGGGCCCCCCGGCGGCGCCTCCGGCGCCGCCCCTGGCGCGCTCCGCGCGCCAGGGGAGGGGGGTCCAGTGCCGATCCGAGAAATCCGCGCGGACCTCCTCGTTTTTATGTTCATGTCATTCTTCGCTCCCCTACTTGACCCCGTCTCGAGGCTCCCGAGACTTGGGCGCCCGAGTTATCCGGGGTAACTCGAGTCCGGGGTAACTCGGGCTTGGATTCCCGAAAAAGGAACCCGAGTTAGCCCTGACCCGAGCTACCCCTGATGATGTGGGGCTCTGGACGCCCGAGTTATCCGGGGTAACTCGGGCCCGGGGTAACTCGGGTCCGGACTCCCGAAAATACGAGACCTATGTTGCTTCACATCAGCAATTTGGCCCCTGCTGACTTTTTTCAAAATAATATATTGGGATGAAACGCTGCCGCTGGATATATCGAGCACAGTTGATCACAACACAAGCGCTCCTGCGATCCCCGCCAAAATGGCAAGAAATGGTAAGCTCGGATCCGCATGGTTACATTGCAACCGAACCGCTTGACCACCATCTCGACCGAACTGGCGGAATTCGACCACGCGTCCGACAAAATACGTTCGACGAGGGATGCGCTGCACAATGCCCCGGCCACGGGCAGCGCTACGAGGGAAAGCGGGCCCTTCGATGTGTCACTTTCAGCGCCCGTGAAAGTGACACCTCCCAGGGCCCACTTAAAGAGCACCAGAAAGGCTCCAAGAAGGCCCCGAGAAGGCCCCAGGGCGGCACCAAGAGGGCTCCCAGAGGGACCCAAGAGAGGCCCCAAGAAGGGCCCAAGAGGGCCCTCCGCGGTGTCACTTTCAACGCCCGTGAAAATGACACCTCCCAGGGCCCACTTAGGGCCTCAGAAAAGCTCTAAGAAGGCCCCGAAAGGGCCATAGAGAGCCGCCCTGGGTTCAACTCCGCGTGGCGGAGTTGGAAGCGATAACTTCAATACCCTACTGGAGGCCTCTTAGGGGCCCTAAGACGGCACTGAAGAACCCCATCGGGGCTTTTTCAAAGGCAGAGGAGGGCGCAAAAAGGGGCCTCAGTGAGCCCCTGGTCTAACTCCACCTGGCGGAATTGGAAGCGATATCGCCCGGCGCCTTCATGGAGCCGCTCGGAGCTTCCAAGACGGCTCCAGAAGGCCCCAGGAGGGCCCCAAGAGGATCGAACGACGATTCCTGGAAGTGCACCAGTGAGACCCTTGTTGACCTCCGCCTGGCGGAGTTGGAAGCGACAATTTCCAGTGCCCTCTTGGGGCCTCTGGGGGGCCCCTCAGAAAGCTTTGGGGAGCACAGTGAAGGCCTTCGCAGGGCCGCGTGAGAGCCGTACCAGGGCCGCATGTGTGCGCGGATGGGGGCGACGAGTGCTGACGCTGACGAATATGAGAATGATGAGGGCGATCAAGGCTGGCCCGAAACAAATCCTGGCGCCATTGCAGGCCGCCGATTATCGGCCACGCCGCCAGGACGACGCCAAGCAACAAAACGACACCAACCAACAAACCGACACCAACCAACAAACCAACAAATCGACACCGGCC